TCGGTGAACCTGCTCTGGCAGTGGGGCTGGACTAGGTGATCTTTCGAGGTCCCTTCCAACCCCTGACATTCTGTGATTCTGTGCTTGTGTGCTTCTGTTACTTTAAAGCAGAAATTAATCTGGAAGTTTCCCTAAGTGCCTTCTTTCCAGTCCCAGCTGGGCAATCTGCCCTTACTAATTTCTCAGCTCAAAAGGCAGTATTTTGGGTTTGCTTGCTTCTTCTCCCACTTAGAAATGGCACAGTATCTCTTTAAGGAGGCTCTTACAGTTGGATGGTCAGGATAACAAACTTGAGAAATTGCTTTTCTGAATTTAATAAACTGCAGCCTTTATTCTGATGGCAAATGAGACAATGTAAATGTAAGTAATGTGTGATTATTTTGCGCTTTTTTCCTGCTTCATTCACTGCACAAAACAAGTAGCATTCCCTTTGAGTAGAGTATATCTTACCCAGCTTCAGCAGTCTGAAAATCAGTGTGTGGGCTTCCTGCCTGCCGAGTGGGAGGAGGTAGGCTCTGCCAAAGAGTGATTCAGCCTGTCTTTGGATAGGTCTGAGACAGGTGTGATGAGTTGTCTTCTTAGAGACTCCTCTAGTTCTCTGCTGGCCTGCAAGGGGCCCAAGGCAACCTGAATACATCAGATACTTCCTTTTCAGAAAGGTAAAATGAAGTGAGATTCATCTTATCCTCAGCAGACTTCTTCATTTGTTGAATGTATGGCCTGATGCCCCATTTTCTGTATCACAATTGAGATCTTACAGCCACCAAAGTGTCCTTTGCCTCCTTGGGCTTTGGTTGGCAGGGAGTGTCCAGGAGTGGAGGTTATCTCACCAGCTACAGACCTTTGCTAGGAGAGGTTTAGCATGCACTCTGAGCATCTTAAGCCCTCTTTATGTCAATGAAGGGAATCATACACTTTTAGCATCTCTTTTAGTAGGACATTTAGTAGAAGTGCCTATGTTTGCTTCTCTGTGCCTAACTGAATGTCTCTGTTACTACCCTATGAAGAGAGCTGAAATTTAGCCACAAAAACCCCATGTAAACATGGATTAGTTTGTTTCATAGTTCCCTTTAAGGAAAGTGGAGGAGATATCTAAATATGACACAACAAATAATTAATAATGTGATTAAAACAAAATCATTTGCTGGTTTTGAGTGTGGACTCTGAAACATCTAGGGCTTAACTTCACCATGGACCTACGTGGTGTTTTTCAAAGAACAGCCTTCATTCATTCTTTAGTGAAAAATATATCACAAAAATTTAAAATTTGCCAATCCATAGCCTGAATAAGAAAAGTCCTATTATGGTTTACCGGTGTGCTTTTTCCAATCTTGGATGCAGTTGAGATAGTCTTGTGAGCATGACTGATTTTCACTATAGCAAGTTCTGCTTGCAAAATAGTTTTAAGAACCTCGTATGTGCTTCCTGGTGTTATTTAGGCTTTCTAAAGGAAATCTCTGAAAAAAAAAAAAGGGTTGATTAAATCTGACCTGGGTTTCAACTGGAAAAACATGCTACTGTGCACACCTTCACATTTGCTCATGTGCTCCTGATGTGAACTCTAGCTTGAGTTGTTAGAGAAAGATGAGAGCAAGTTTTGGGTCTGAGCTAAGGATGGGAAAACTTAGCAAGAAGTTCTTGTCACTGTACCTTGCCCATGTGTATTTTGAGCAGTGGAATTTTACAAGCTTCTTGAGATGAGCACTGCTCCGTAGCATGAGGTCTCTCATGACACACAGAATCACAGAATCATGGAATTGTTGAGGCTGGAAAAGACTTCTGAGATCATCAAGTCCAGCCTGTTACTCAAACTTTACTTGACAGTACAACGGCACTTGGACAGCGTTTCAGTCTTCGTCATCCGTAGCTCCTGCAAATAGTTAACAATTTCCCTCCCCAGTCGGTGTGGTCTGTTCTTACAAGCAACGCTCAACCCTCCTTCCTCACATTTCTGTGGCTGATGGGGATGAGGGATGTGTATTGCACGGTAAAATGAGCTCTGGGAGGGCTTATACGGACAGGCTGTACTGGTTTTTATGTGATAGGCAGGAGGGAGCTCTCATGTTCTTGGTAGGGGCTATTTGTTACGATTTATAGCTGCAATCGTGGCTGATTACAGTATGTCAGAAGGGTGTTACACTAGAGTTGTTGCAGAAGTGATTAAGAAGTGGAGCCATGAGACGGTGGAGCATCTTAACTGCCTTATTTGCCCTCCTGAATGTCCAGTAATAACTGAAAACAGAGTGATCAGGAGGGAAAAGCTGTTGACAGCCGAGGAAGTTACTGTAATACAGAAGGCCTCAACTTGGCACCAGGCAACCATTTCTGTCTTTGCAAACAATTAAGACTATATTTCCTCAGAAAAAGCTATTTCTTCAGAAAAAAGCTCCATGATGGAAGCTTTATGTTCCTTTTTCTGTCTGCAGTCACATCTTGATTTGCCTTGGGACTGGCCCATGGAGACTTTTTCATCTATTTCTTCGTATAAATTTGAAGCATAACATCATTAGATACATGCCTTTTCCTCTGGCAACTATTTTCAGGCCCTACAGTGGCTTTCAGCCTGAAAGGTTCATGAGGGCGACTAAGAAATCCAGAAATGATAGAATCTAAGTTCACTACACAAAAATATTTATCTATCCTCGTTTCAGGAGCTCCCTAACTGAGCAAAGTTAAAAGCACTGCCATAGTTTAAAATCAATTTATCAAAATAAGCTATTTTAGTATCACTAGGGTTAAGTGCTGGAGTTAATGTGTGTAATTGTGTGAGGGGGAGAAGAGGTTGGAATAGCCCAAATAGAAGAAAAACACAGGTTCCTTGCTCAGTCGCTCACAACGTGCCTTTTGCAATGTTTTTAACTCCACAGTCTGTGTGTTTCTGGGAGTGCTTTGTAGTTTGGATGAGAATCCTGTGGAGCCCGTTCGGAGCTAAAAGCAGGATGGTTCCATCCACACAGGACTGCGTCTCCAGGAACTGGATGCATTTGGCAGCACGGCACAATTGTACCCCTGGCAGGATTTAGCAACTGGGAATTCAAGTCACCAGAGCATGGATTTGTTGTGGGTAGGACCACATTGATGCTGGAGCTGCATAGACACGTGTCCTATTCAAGTAGATCCAGAGGAGGTCCATGAAGATGATCAGAGGGATGGTAGACATCTGCTGTGAAGAAAGGCTGAGAGTTGGGGATGTTCAGCATGGGGAAGGCTCCAGGGAGATCTTATTGTGGCATTTGAATCTATGAAAGGGACTTACAAGAAAAATGGAGAAAGACTTCTTACCAATGCCTGTAGTGACAGGACTAGGGTCAACAGTTTTTAATTGGAAGAGGGCAGACTTAGACTGGACATGAGGAAAAAAAAAAAATTGCAATGATGGCAGTGAGACGCTGAAACAGGTTGCCCAGAGAAGCTGTGGATGCCTCGTCCCTGCAAGTGTCTAAGGGCAGGTTGGACGGGGCTTTGAGCAACCTGGTCTAGTGGGAGGTGTCCCTGCTCATGGCAGGGAGTTGGAACTAGACGATCTTTGAAGGCCCCTTCAAACCTTAACCGTTCTGTGATTCTGTGGTTCTATGATTCTATGAATAAGTGTTTCAGTCTGTATCTGTGAGTTTTCTATATAGGGATTAATGAATTATACAGCATTTTCTGGGTGTTGTGGCAATGCAAAAAATAATGATTTTTGGAGAACTGTGTTCTAATCTCTCCAGGTCCTGTTACAATTTGAATTTATGCTTGTTTTTGACGTTTTGGACTGAGCCATTTAAACCATGTCAGATTTTTGATCTGGCTTTTCCCACCAAGAACAAGATTAATCTGTGAAGTGCTATGTTTGTGGGCTGAGGTAACTATCTAAGTACAGTTGAAGACATGTCCCACTGCCTGATCAATGTCTTGTATTTGCACTTTGGTTACGGACAGGATTTGACCTGATGAATTCGTTCAGCGTGAGACAGATTTTTGGAATGAAAGAAAATGGAATTCAGAGCGCTTATGTACGACTTGGAAGCTTCCCTGTTGTTCAGAAAACTGAGTGAGTACCCTGTTTTTTCACTTTATTTCGATCTGAGTCTCTGCTTTATACTATTTGTTGGTTATCTGGCACCTACACATCCATTGCTGCTTTGATCAGCTCTTTCAGTTCTGCCTGCACAGAATTTATACAACGTGGTCAGGAGCCTCTGCACCAACAACAGGCTCCATCCTGGTAGAGCATGAGCTGATTTCAGGGTATCTCAGTGGTTGTGAGGAGCAGTATCAAGAAATTCACGAAAGAACTTAGACCTGAAGAAATAGCTCCTAAAAGGAATATTTGGTAACACGCCCATTGTGATATTTATTTGCTGATGGCAAGTTCCCAGTTGCTGTTGTTAGCAGTTGGCTAATATGGGGTTCAGCCTTGTAAAAGAATGAGCAATTTTAATCCCATGTTAACATGGATTCAGCCCTTGGAGCCTTTTGTGACCTAAGGCTGCCAGCTGTGTCATAGTCTATCAGAACGGTTTCTCTTTGTGGCGTCCCTGGCGACAGGGAGGCTGGACTAAAATGATCTCTAAGGTCCCTTCCAGCTTAGGCCATTCTGTGCTTATTCTATGATGATTTTTCTTTGGGTTGTCACTTGACTCCTGCCAGCCTTGGCCATGAAGGGAGTGAGTGTAATTTTACTGAGTAACCATGAGCTACAGATTGAATTGTCATCATTAACATTTTTGCAGTATATTTCTCTGTGCTGATTTGAACTTCAGCTTAAAAAAAATCAGTGGTAATTCTTTTCCTTCTTATGTATGAGGGCTGTTATTTTTTATTCTGTTTTAGCTCTTTTACTCAGCTCACTGCATCTTTGAGATTGTCCTGTGACTTACAAGTGCCTGATTTCACAACACTTTTTTCATCCTGGAGACAGCCTGGATTGATTTACCCTTCTCCCCTCCCCGTCTTTCTTCATATAAACACAGGATCTTTTTTTAAAAAAAACAAACTAGAAATATGATATACTGAAAATAAAACTGTTTGCTCTAAAGTCCATAAATTATGTCGGGTCTGAGAGTAAGTAAATTCATTGTTTGGGAGAAGGCCAGCCAACTTAAGACACCTTGGTTTTCAGAAGTGGTATGTACATAGCTGAGGGATGTGTGGAGGGGAAGAAGCCTCTTTTATTAGGCTCACAGCAGTCTCTGGGTAGAATTTCTGCTTGCTGCAGCTCATGACAGCTGACGGGAGTGTGCTTTATCACTGTAAAGTATTACTACCAAGACTACACAGAAAGAAGCCCTTGAAGTGAAGAAGACCAGCTGGCACTTAAGAAATTCTGGGAATGATGATACCCTGAATCTGAGCTCTGGGTGCTACTATGACAAATAGAATTTAGTGCAGTCCTTGGGTGTATAAACAGGAGCTGTCAGGTATGAGGTGACTGGCTCTATATCCAGGAACTCACTCTCCACTGCTGGAGTGCTGCGTCCAGTCCGTGTTCACTTAATTCAACAGACACTCGTGGAGAGAATGGAAGATTGAAGAACTGTGAAGCGAATCTGTTAGTGGGAAATTCAAGACGTGTGGTGTAGCCAGGTAAAACTAAGAAGTGGTTAACAACTGAGGTGATTGCTCTCTGTAAGAACCTCTGGGAAGTCAAAGTTTGATAAAGGGTCTTTGGTGCTAAGGATAGGAGTAGGCCAAAAGTCAGTGCTGCCTGTTGATGGCGTCAAAAACCAGCATGGAAGAAAGGCACGCTTTCGACAATATACATAATTAACCACTGCAACAGGTTAGCATAGGCTACAGAGAGTTGTCCGTTTGCATCGTTTTTATAAGGGTTGAAGTATTTTGTTGTTGTTGCTGTTGTTTTTTCCCCAGAATGACCGAGGGAATGAAGCCAGACTGACTAGCTATGATGACTTTCCGTCTGCTCGGATTGCATCCATTTATTTGTTATAGTCTAAAATAAGCAGAATATTTTACTACTCAGGACAATTAGAAGTAAAACATTCTTAATTGGTAGACTGAAATGACTAAGCTTCTTTTGAATGATTATCTGACACATGGAATTAAAGCAGAACTTTTATATTTTCAGCCTTTTGTATTTTAGCTCCTGTATTCCTCTGTTTTGAGAGTAAACCGAAATGGATATAACGCCATGGAACGTGTTGGCACATTTGGTTCATTTTAGCCTCTGGATGTCAGGATTCTGAGGTGGTGCACGCAGGGTCGTTACTCACAGAAAATGAAGTCTTGTAAAGCTGCATAAAACTGATAACTGGAATAATAAACAAAACAAAAACATCTGTCCTGTCTTGCAGATAACCTCAAGCAATGTTTAGCAACTGATAGCAACATCTCATAATTAGATACAAAATCATTAGCTGACTAATATATGTAATTCACTTTATTATCTGCTTAAAGGATTTGTATCCTTTTGTATAAGCACTGCTACTTTTACAAAGTGCCAGCTTAGCTGCCTGGGAAGTGTCCCTGTTCATCTTCCAGTCTGGAGCCTTACAACTATGAACTTCCTTCCTCTCTGTGATGCTTCTGGGAGCAGGCAAACCCAACAGCCAGAAGCTTGGCTGCAGACAACGTCCTGGCCACTGAGGGATTTCCAGGTCTCTCTAGCTGGCTGAGGGCTAGTCCAGAGAACTGGTGGGTGCTTCTCCTCACTCCTCGGCTAGCTGAGGCTTTCCCACTCTTTGCTCGTGGCTCCTCCTCCTTGATCTTCTGGTCAAATCTATGCACCAGGTTTCTGGTTTTGGGGACTCAGGCTTGTTCCTCTTTACTCTTGTTTTGGCTAATGCCAAGATTCTGGCTCACTGGCTCATTCCGCTCTCCATCTGCTTCTCCTAGTCCTGATTCTAATCCATGCTCATCCCTCAGACCAGCCTCTTCTGGTTCCAGGCTGGATTGGTTCTCATTTCAGCTGCCATCTCACAGAACTTCCTGATACTTGGCCTTGCGTCTAGTCAGGTTCCATTTGCTCTTTATATTGGTACAGTGTTTTCTTCTCCAGTTTCTGAGCCTTGGGGTTTTTTAGGCATGAATACCCTGGTGTGTTAGTGTGGGGACTCTGCCTCCTCACATCACGTTTGAGTTCAGCTGCCTATCCTGGGTTTTTCCATGAGCTTTTGCCCTGGTCTCATAATTTGTTCTGCTCCTCAGAGAAGAAAATTCTACACAAAGGTGCAAAACTCTCCTATGCTAAACAGGAAACTTGCTGCATGGTTCCTTGTTCCTTACTTCTCAAATATGTATTTCATCTGAAGAACAGCAGAGACAACTAAGATTCTTCAGCCTGGAGAAGAGAAGGCTCAGGGTGAGATGGCCTCATATCCATATATATAAATACCTGATGGGAAGGAAACAAAGAAAGTGGAGCCAGAATCTTCTCAGTGGTATCCATTGATAGGACAAGAAGCAATGGGAACAAAATGAAATCATGAAATTCAACCTGAACACAAGAAAAACCTTCTTTAGACTAGCTGATCTCAAGAGGTCCAGCTGTTAGGCCTGGTCTTGGACCTGTCACAAAATTTCTTATGGCGTTGCAGATGGAAAAAGAGCATGATCCTGTGCTGAAGTCAGGGAGGAAACACATGACTCCTTGCTCTAAGAAAGGGGTGAGAGCAGACTCCCAGCTGAAGGATCTTGCTGTGGCCCCTACCTGGTCTCATGACCTCTGTTACCAGACAGGTGCTTGTCTTCTAGAAGAATCGTAGAATCATTGAATGTGTTGAGTTGGAAGGAACCTGTAAAGGTCATCTAGTCCAACCCCTCTAAGGTAAGCAGGGAAATCTAACATGTCTGTCCAAATCTGCTATGGAGTCAGAGGGAATGTGTCTGTCAGGATGACACCTGAGGAGTTTTTTGTATGCTTCTTCTTTACTAGTCAGCTAAACAGGGTAAATTCATTGGCCCCAGACCTGTGTCATTTGTGCTCTTCACTTGTTCGTGTGCTCATGTCAAGTTAGTTTTGGGTGATGTCAAGCAATGTTATCCCAGACAATGCCTGGGCTTGGTGTGAAGGATGGATCATACCTGAGACTGGTCCCCAAAGACAGTTTGGACGTGATCACACTCCTCGGGAAAGGAGCACTGAGCTGAACCTCACTCATAGCTGGCGAATGGACCCTGATGGTTATTTACGAGTGTGAACATAGAGATTGAGTCTTCTGAGAAGGCAAAGGAGATGAAGCATGACTGAGATGGAATGACTGAAGCGGGGTTTTTTTTAATGTTTAGAGAGTAAAAGATTGAGGGGAGCTGATAAACATGCAGAAGATTCCAGCAAACTGAGGAGAACAAGGTGTTTGCATGGTTCCTTGTGGAAAAAAGTTGTTTCAGGGAGATTAAACTGCAGCAAGTCAGGTTTAGGATAGACTTTTTTTGTTGCATGTAGAATATTGAAAAACAGGAAGAAATTATCTATAATGATTATATCTATTCCATCACTGAGATTTCTGAAGTAGAGGCCAAAGACATATCTGCCAAGGATGTATGGGTGGAGTTGATTCTGTGTTGTGATGATCCTTCTGTAGCCTCTTTTCTTTTCTTTTCTTTTCTTTTCTTTTCTTTTCTTTTCTTTTCTTTTCTTTTCTTTTCTTTTCTTTTCTTTTCTTTTCTTTTCTTTTCTTTTCTTTTCTTTTCTTTTCTTTTCTTTTCTTTTCTTTTCTTTTCTTTTCTTTTCTTTTCTTTTCTTTTCTTTTCTTTTCTTTTCTTTTCTTTTCTTTTCTTTTCTTTTCTTTTCTTTTCTTTTCTTTTCTTTTCTTTTCTTTTCTTTTCTTTTCTTTTCTTTTCTTTTCTTTTCTTTTCTTTTCTTTTCTTTTCTTTTCTTTTCTTTTCTTTTCTTTTCTTTTCTTTTCTTTTCTTTTCTTTTCTTTTCTTTTCTTTTCTTTTCTTTTCTTTTCTTTTCTTTTCTTTTCTTTTCTTTTTCCTTTCCTTTCCTTTCCTTTCCTTTCCTTTCCTTTCCTTTCCTTTCCTTTCCTTTCCTTTCCTTTTTTCCTTTTCTTTTCTTCTTCTCTTCTTTTCTTTAGCTGTTGTAAAAGTGGTCATATTTCTCAAATATATTAATTATGCTCTTCCTCACCAGATGTGGACACCCTATTAATTGTTGGTGCGATCAGCGTCTGAAATGAGAACTGATAATCTTACTTTTCTCCATTCTGTTGTTACTATAGATGTAAGATCTTCTACTGATTGTCACAGATAGAGATAGACCCTTACGACAAAAAAACACGTGAGAGGGAGGCTATATATTGAAAATGGCCAAAGGAGTCTTCTGCCTGGTTATTAAAACTTTTTCTTTGTAAAGTTGTGATTTGCCTGACCTTGTAGCCAGGTTAATTAACTCAGACTACCCTGCAGCACTGGGGGATTCTCCAGCCTTCGAGTTTTACAAGGGCCTCTCCTGCAATCTATCCTGTTGTCAGAATTATAGACCAAGGAGCTGGCAGAGTGCTCCCTGTAGGTACCCGGCATCCAGCAAAGCTCCGTATTATGGATCATCAGTTCAATTCAGCTTTGGGTGAAAGAAGGAAATAAAACATTTCTGAGGACAGCAGTACCTGCCCTTGGATTCCCAAGTAAAGCTAAACTTCTAGATGGAAATCAGTTTTTAGTGAGAAAATAAATGTAAACTCATAAACAAAGTTTTTGTTACTTATACAGTAATGCACCTCAGTAAAAGATGCAGAGACCAGCAGAGACCAGGGCTTTCAGGAACAGCTCTTATCATATCTTCAGAGCAATGAGAGCGTCTTTAGGTTTGTGTTTGGCACAAAGCCTTCCTCTATCAGGAACATGCAGCCAGTTCTTCGGTACCTTTAAAAATCAGTTGCAGGTGACAGATCCTTATAGTTTTCTATCAGTTTAAATCTACCTGATGGACCATTTGTCAGCCTCTCTGTGATGAGATGTGGCCAGACTCACCAGAATATTTAGATTCCTAACTCCCAGCCATTTCTGTGGGTTTTAAAAATCTGAAAACCCTTGTTGAATTTAATCTCACGTGGTGACAGTCATGTTCCCAACTCAGTGGTATCCAGAAGGACTGTCTTAGCACAAAGGCCAGCATCTGGCTCTTCCAGATTTGGTTGTAGGTTGTCAGGGTCAGGGCTCGACATGGTGTCTTGGGGGATTAATTTCGACCACATGCTCTTAGACCTCCTTGCTCAGCAGTGCAGCGATGGCATGGTTACAGCCACTGCCTTTAATTCGTTCTTGGTTCTAAAAAAAACATAAGGTAACAGTCAAAAAAACGTTTGGGAAAGGCAACATCGAAAGCATATGTCCTGCTGCTGTTGGTGTAGAGGAAATGTTGACGTAGAGGAAATGGATTAAAGCTAGAGATGGGTCAGTTCAGATTGGATGTGAGGAAGAAGTTCTTCCCCATGAGGATGGTGAGACCCTGGCACAGGTTGTCCAGAGAAGGGGTGGAAGACCCATCCCTGGAAGTTTTTAAGGCCAGCCTGGATGGGGCTCTGGGCAGCCTGATCTAGTGGGAGATGTCCCTGCCCATGGCAGGGGGGTTGGAACTAGATGATCTTTAAGGTCCCTTCAAACTCTGACAATTCTGTTCAATGTGATGATAGAAAACACACTGTGGATCAAGCAAGAAAGCAAAGCACCTCCAGAGCTGCGACTCCACTGTCTCATGCCACAACCAAGGAATGAAGAACCGTTTCTCTGCTTGTTTTGCATCCAGTAAGAGGTTGGAGTTGGTGCTGGGTTGTCGCTAGGGGAGTAATTTGATGGGGCTCTCTGTGCCCAAAATGTGAATCAGAGTCTTTAAAAGGCAGGGCAGAGAGGGAACTCACAACTGTGATGGTGAAGATAGATGGGGAGGAGTGAGTGAAGATAAATGCACTAGGCATGTGTGCTGAAATGACAGACTTTGAGGAGCTGAGCCATGGGGAAATGCCCCCACTGGCAGCACTCTCCTCTTGAAATGTCTGTGATTTTTATTCAAGAGGATGGGGCAGTAAGCAATGCCTTTCAAACTATCAGCCTTGCCACGTTGCTGTGTTTTGAAGTTAGTCGAAGGGATGGAGGAAAACAAGCCAAACTATCAGTGGTGTTAAAAGAGGAGGCATCTTCTTCTTTGACAAGGTTGGGCACAGTGAGTTTACAAAGCTATTTTGGCAGGAAAATGTGCAGTGAGGCCTGTGAAGGAGACCTGGTGGGGTGCCGTGCTGGGAGGGCTGATGTGACTGACCTGACTCTTGCCAAACACCCAGAAGATTTTCTTGGTGGCTTTCAGTGCCCTACTCATTCCAGTTGCATTCTCCATGGTGACTCTGCCGCAAGAATGACGACTGACATGCTTCTTGTTTTGTCAAGAAAAGAGGAAGCATCTGGCTGTTTTGTGTGCCATGGGAGAGCTGGGTGCTGGCATGAGGTGAATCTGTGACCTGGGAGGGCTGGTTTGTGAATAGCCAGTGCTGAGAAGTGACAACCCTGTCTGCTCTCCTAAGGGAAGGATTTTACAAAGGAGCTAGTGGGAGCTTGGTTCCATTTTCTCTTGTTTTGGAAGGCTTCAGAGAGTGCCTCTGTCCTCAGCTTATAATGATGCATAGCCTGCATGGACATTTTATACAGCAAAAGCCACAGCAGTGAATGAAACTGCAGTGTCCTGAATTTTTAACTTGGCTAAAAAGATAGGGAATTCAAAGCACAGATTGAATATTTTTGACATAAGACTGGCTTTGAACCTTTGCTGTAATTGCAAACTGAAGTATTTTGGAAATTTTGAGGATTTTTTTTACTTTAAACACCATTAAAAGCCTCTAGTTTTGTGTGCCTTGGACTGTGCCAGCTTCTGCGCAGTGATGAGCTATGTCAAGTGTTTCTTAAGACAATCTGTCTTCATTGTTTTGCTCTTCATTAATTGCTACTGTTGTGTTTTGTTTTTTAATGGGTGCTTATGCCTGAGTGCTCAGATGTCTGGAAGTGAAGACATGATATTTCGGAAGAGTCTATTTAGGAGTGATCAGAGGAGCAGGCTGGCTTGGCATGGGGAACAATGACGTTAACTGGGACTCTTCAGCTGGGAAAAGAGATGTCTTAGAGGCATTATACACAAAGTTTTCAAAATCATGAATGGCACAAAACCCAGAAAAAGAATAGGTTCATTATGTTATCCATTATAAGAACTGAGGTAGGTCCTAAACAAACAAGAGGAAGCTCATTATACAGTGGGTAGCAGAGCTGTACCATCCCTTGCCAAAGGATGCTGTGAATGTACTAAGTTTACCTGAGTTGAAGGGGTGACTGGAGAGGTCCTTACAAGATAAATCAGTTTAAAGTTATTAATACAGAAATTGCAGTTGTCTCCAAATTTGACCTGGATCCCAAAGAGCTGGAGGTAGAGGGGATATGTTTATCCTCTTCATTTTCATTTTTAGGCATCCAGTAATGGCTAGTGACAAAAAATTAATGATACTAGGTTAGTTATGCCTTCTGCCCAGGCCTTTATGCTTATGTTATGTTCTTATGATGGGGCTGACTCAAACACTACTGAGTTTAGTTCCTTCCAACTTAGGCATGGATCATGGTGTCACACTGAGTCAATTTCTGCCTGACGTGTTTGCTTTGTTTGATTCGAGAAGGTTCTTCTGTTCTCCCAGGCCATCAGCCCAGGAACATCTTCCTGGACAGGCATGAGCTGTAGTGCCTGATTTGGAGCAAATATTTCGGTATTTGTTGCTATAACTTGGTACATTTCTGGAGGGTTTCAGGTGCGCTCACCCATTCTCAGAGGTCACAGATCTCCAGTGCATCTGGAGAAGAACAGAATGATTTACAGATTGTATGAACTGAAGCATCAAGTGAAAAACAACTGTTTTATCATGATGAACACTGGACTGGAGTTTTTCACTGTTTCTCATTTAATTTGAGAGCTTCACTAATGGAATGAAAAAGGGCTCCTCAAGGACAGAACCACCTGCAGGGCACAAGCTCATGTTCATCCCTCTGCAGGCTGCCAAATACAACAGATTTTGTAGGAACTATATGATACTTCTGGGAAGCATTGCTGAGACAAACAGAGTTTTACAAGTTCTGCTCTTCGCTGCTAAGCCTGACACATATTGCTCTCTTTTCTGCTCCCCACACCAGGGACGTATTTCCACAAGGTCTCCCTGATGAATATGCCTTTGTAACTACCTTCAAATTCCGGAAGGCTTCCAGAAAAGAAGACTGGTATATTTGGCAGATTATTGACAAGTACGGCATACCACAGGTACGAGGTCCTTTGCATCCAGCAAGAACAGCCTTGTTTCTCTTTTGTTGCATGAGCCGACTGTCTTGCCTTAACCTCCCACTCCTTTTTCCTGGTGGACTGGTAAAAATCCTGTTGCCTCTCTTTCAGTTCATTTGGCTGAGAACCCTTTACCTATCGTTAACATGCAGAGAGACGTGTTAGTTGGAAAGGGGGAGAAAAATACACCATCCTTGCTCTTACAACCACTTTTTGGGTTTTGATTGTTTTCTTCAGGTAGTTCTGTTCAGGGAAAACACTTTGCCCGTTTGGAAAAAGCTTGCCATGCAGATATACTGCAGGGCAGTGAGCTATGTCAAGTTTTTGTACATACTTGTAGATATCCCATGGCAGGGGGCTGGAACTAGATGATCTTTAAGATCCCTTCCAACCCAAACCATTCTATGATTCTATGACACCATGCAAAAGCATTTTGGGTTCCCTGCTTTGGATGTGGATGTAACACCTATCATTGCTCCACATCCCTGAGTCCTAGGTGCTGCAGAATTTGATCTAATAGTTTTTGTCAAATTCTCTGAGGTTCTCAGAAGAAAAATGCCATAAGGGTGTAATAAAGGGCTGTCTCTTTCTATATAGCATGTTCTTAGCAGCATGCTGAAGTTCAGGGGTTCGTGTGTGCTTGAGAAAGGAGTGATTTGGATGAGCTATATGTTTTTATGCTCACAACAAACATGGTGCCTCCGGACATGGGCTCATGTGGCCATGTAATGCAGTATTGCTGCTTGGATACTGATATTCAAAAGGATTTGGGGAACTCACAGTAAAGGATAGATGCAGTTTGAGGACTTAGCTAACTGAGTTCCAGACAATGGTGAAAGGTATTTATGAAAATTATTTTCAGCTGCACTTGGTTAAATAAAGCATGATTTACTGTGCTACATGCTTTCCTAGTTCCTGCAGAATAAAAATGTGTATGTCACTGGGCGTTTCTTGGAGACAGCTGAAGACTTGAGCTGCTTAGGTGTGGAGAGAAAAAAGCACTTGAGACTCTCATTAATATGTTCAAAACTGTCTTAAACTGGGGTTGCAGAGACAGTGGTTTTACCACTTCTGAGCTAACGATGATCCAGGCTCACATTTCCAACCAGCACGGTACTCCCCAGCCAGCATGGTGCTCAGCTCCGTGGAGATGGGTCAGATCTGGAGTCAGCCCACGCTTGGCTCCTGACATCAGACACGGCGCGATGCTGATGGGGCCAAACTCCTTCCAGCTCTGCAGGTTACGGACACACCGTTTGTTCCCCTGGCTCTGTGCTTTGCTCTGTCCCCTGCAGCTTACTGGTAACTGCCTGACTTTGGTAGAAGTCCAGCTCAGCAGTTTCATTTCATGCCAGTCAGTGAGGCATATGTCCATGTGCCATGGGACAGTTAAGGACATGTGATAGGGCTGAAGAGCACAGAGCCTGCTGGGAAGCAGTAGAGGAATGCACAGGACAGAGGGATCCAAAACAGGTTCAGCTTTGTTTATCTGCCTTTGGGGAGGTGCTTCTGGTGTGTGCTACCACCCAACCATGCCCAGGTGTTGCCTGGGAGGCATTGAAGTGGAATATGCTTAAACCATGTCAAGGATTGTTTTCACAGGAGAAGGCTTTAGACCGTTGTGGATCTGCATGCAAGCCTGTGCCCTGCCTCTCTTATTTAGCTTGGAGAAAAGGAGGCTCAAGGGGGACCTTATTGGTCTCTACAAGTACCTGAGAGGAGGTTGTAGTGAGGTGGAGGTCAGTCTCTTCTCTGAAGGAACAAGCGATAGGGTCAAGGGGAAATGGCCTCCAGGGGAGGTTTAGGTTGGATATTAGGAACAATTTCTTCACAGTTGTCAAGCACTGGTACAGGCTGCCCAGGAAGGTGGTGGAGTCACCATCCCTGGAGGTATTTAAAAGACGTGTAAATGTGGTGCTTAGGTCTAGTGGTGGACCTGTTATTGCTTGCTTAATAGTTGTGCTCGATGATCTTAAAGATCTTTCCCAGCCTAAATGGTTCTGTGATTTACTGTAACAGGTGTAGATCCCCTGTCCATATCGCCTAGAAAACTCAGTTCTTGGTTTTTGCTTGGGTTTCTCACCATGTACTGTACCACTCCTGACTTTGGGGTGTCTGTCGTGATGGGAAGAAGGCAGGAGGAACGAGAACGTTTTGTACTTTCTCAGCAAAATCCCTTCTGTCTGCTTGCAGGTCTCGATCCGACTGGACGGAGAGAACAAAGCTGTAGAGTACAATGCCATCGGGCTCACCAAGGACGCCGTGAGAGTGGTCTTCCGAAATGCACGAGTCAGTGATCTTTTTGACCGCAACTGGCACAAAATTGCCCTCAGCATTCAGTCGAAGGCTGTCTCGCTTTACATAGACTGCAGACTAGTGCAGGTGCTGCCTATCGAAGACAGGGAAAATATTGACATTCAAGGGAAGACCGTGATCGGCAAGCGCCTGTATGACAGCGTGCCCATTGATGTGAGTACTGCCTGTACTGATTAGAGCTGGGTTTGCAGCATGTGAATGAGGTTTGAGGCATTATGTTGTAGTTGACCCTTTCCCTGAAGCAGTATCGCTGAAACGTTACCTGTGTTCCATAGCTAAAGCAGGTCGGCGTCTTGTCATGTACAAGACTTGCTGTCTTTGTATGTGAGACTGTCAGTATCTCCGTAATAGGAATTAAAAATGAGAAATCCATTTCGTCTTTCTCTCTGGTCCCAGAATGTGCTATCGTTAAAACCAGAGACAAAATCACCCACAAACACCTTCAAACTGAGTACTATACTACCCATGTAAAGATCTTCTGCTATCTGCTCTTGGCATTATGAGTGTTTCCACCTGTCGTGGGACGAGATGGGTAAAAAAAGAAAGCTTGTTAGCTCAGGAGAATCATGATACATTCTCAATTCCTTCAAAATGACACCTGATATTAAATGACTCTTACTCCCATTGAACGAAGTTGAGATCTACAGGTTTTAGCTGCTTGTCCAGTAGCGGTGTTAAGCTGGTATAACTTATACGTGATTGGTGTTTTGAGACTTGTGTAATCTTTCTTAGCTGTGCAAAATGAATGGAATGTGTGTATTAAATCTGCTAATAGCATTTCTCACACACGGGTAAATGGTCAGAAGACAGTGGGCACAACAGGAGAAAAACAGACTTTATGACTAGATGAAATTCTAGGAAGGACAGAGGTGGTCAGAATATGTTTTCTCAGACAGACATTTGGCCAGGACGTGGGGATTATCATGCCTCCTTATTTGCCTGGAAACTTGTACCAGAATTTTAATAGGCATATTGAGGGTCTCATTAGCTCAGCAGTCTTGGAGCACGCTGAGATATTGGTCCATTATTGATAGAGAGAGAGTTATTGACTACAGTATCCATAGAATCACTATGAAGTTAGCCCCATCTGGTTTTTGTTTGTATTCCTCTGCGCTGTTTGTATCCAAGCAAAAGGATGTGCAGTCTTTAATAATTCACTGTCTCTGGGACTATTGCCTCACTTATATCTTCTAGTTTGATCTTCAACGGATGGTTATTTACTGTGATTCTCGACATGCTGAGCTAGAGACCTGCTGTGACATTCCCTCTGGACCAGTAAGCTTCTTTTTGTCATTTATTCATTGTCACATGAATACTCTTCGTTGAAATCCATTACATAAATCAGGGAATATATGGCAGGGTGGGATTATGTGTTTTTTAATGATGGTGAATGAAAGCTAACCATATAATTGGTAATGTAGCAGCGCCAGGACTACTGCAGAGGGAGGAGTATAAAGAATTTGAAGTCTCCGAGTTGTTCTTCCCTTGTCAAACTGTCGGGAGAAACAAAACCCTGAAGTGATGGTGGAACAACAGAAATGCAGCATGAAATACTCAGCACATTTCCCACTGGTTTTATGTGGGAAGAGCTAAAGCAATGCCAGTTGCTGCTCAGTTTCCTCTGCCCAACTCTCATTAGAAGCTTCCGCTCTCCTTTCACTCTTCGCTCCTGGATCTTGGTTAAAGAGATTCATTGTTCATTTCACCATGTTTGAACGAATGGCTTTTTTGGGATTTCATTCCTCGCTAGGACTCCTTTAGCTGTGCGTTACCCAGTAATGCCTACGCGGTTTCTCTAAAGAGGGTGGAAGAGGAAGCTTTCTAGCAGCGAAGGCTTCACGATGACTTTGGGTGTTTGGGTGTAGTGCCAGGTCACGGTCCTGACGGAAGCACCTCCCCTGGAAGTGAGGCCCACTGTTGGCAACGAGCAAGTTGGCCACCTCAAGACTGTCAACTGCTCCTGTCCTGCTGGACAAAAGGTGAGTGTGGAGATGTGTGTGTTTCATTTGGGGCGTGCTGGGTAAGATTGGAAATAGGGGTGTGGCACCATGCAGGTGAGTTGTAAGAAGAACTGCATTTGTTTGTAAAGCATTGCAAGCCCTAGAGGTGGAAAGCACTTCACAGAAAGAGCCAGGCATGTGTTTTTCACAGGTGGGATGTCTGTGGAGGTACTGGCATTCTTCCCAGGTGTTCTCTCATTACCTGATCTTGATCATGCTGGTAGTCCTGGTAACAACCTTGAAAAGAAAGCCGTTATTCTTATCAAGCCCAGTTATATGTATCCTTCTCCTAATAAAAAGGAAGAGATTTTGGAGGTAAATATAGCCTCACTGAAAAACAATCTCAGAGCTTTTAAAAGCAGTGTGCTTGCTTGTATTAGCTGTGACTGAGAACCCAGCTTTGTAGTCACTGCTCTTGAGGACACGTCAGTTTTAGTCTGTTTGCCACTAAATCCTGAACACTTTTTTTGGTGTCCTCGCTTTTAAGATTAGGTCCCTTGCTTTGTTGTCTAATGAGAAGATCGGTCGGACTAATCATGTGGTTTTTCTCTTAGGGGGAGAGAGGTCCAATTGGCCCTGCAGGTCCTAAAGGGCAAAAGGTCAGTAATATGTGCTAGTTAATTTGTTTAATAAAAACCCCCCAACAATTTAAAAAAAAAACACACAAAAAAACCCCAAAACCCAATTTCAGGGTAAGTTGAGAGGTTGAAGATTTTGAGAAATAAGAATCATTTTGTCATATGACTGAGCTCAGACAGTTTTGGATGAGCCTGGAGCTGCAGGAGGCTCTGGCCATCTTGTGTCTTTGCCCTAGGCTTGTACTGGAGCTTCTCTGTTGCTGCTTTATGTCATTCTTAGTGCCTTCCAAAATCTTTTCCTACAGCCTCTCAACTGGCATTTTTGCAAGTTAGTATTATTCACTAGGTCATGCACAGCTTTCATGGTAAGTCACCTGGAAAATCGTGTGCTGCTTCTGCGCTGTGCCTTGCTCATCAGTACTAGATATCCATAGGTTACGTAGCAGCCTCCCAGTTACAATCTACAGAATTTCCTGAGACTGGGATAAAGGATTAGCCGTCAGTCTGGTATCCTTAGCAAGAGTCATGATGTTAAATGGAGTCCACTTTCCTCAGTGCTCTTCTTCCTGGAAGAGCAGGAGGGTGGTTGTGATGTCTGCTTCGGGTTTCATGGTGCAACTTCTATATTATCCTACATATTCTGCAAGTTTCTTTGATATGCGTGTGTGCAGCATACACACATTTTTCCTTCTGTGCTTGGTTACAAGTAGAGCCAACTGACTTAAACAGAGCACTTGAGCTGGAAAAAAGCAAAGACTCACAACATTGCTGAAGAGGTGAAAGTTAGTGGTGATGATTAAAAAGATATTTGGGAACAATTTGTGTTAAAAACTGTTTCCTTATGAATCAGTTCTACAAATTCAGTCACTGCATTTGTACCTGTTTGGTCAGTAAATTGTATCCCACCGAAAGTTACTCAGTTATTACTGTGGGAGGGGAGAGAAGAAATCTCCTGGTGTTGGAAGGTCAGACATCCTCGGCGATGTGTTGTGGGGTTTTTTGGCAAGGCTTGGTCTGCGAGGAGGGTTTCTGGATGGTGAGGAGATGTGTTCTGGAGTATGTTTTCTGCTGGTGTGAAAGAACATGACCGCATTAATGCTCAGATGTGCCTGACTGAAACTAGAGAAAATGTTTCCTTATGCTTCCACGTGTATATAAATAGAAACTTTCTATTTTAATCTCTGACAGCTTAAATAATGACAGGCTGTTTTGAAGAATGGCAAAACCATGACTGTTGTGAGGAGATTGCAGAAGGACAATGATGATAATAACAAAAGCATCCTGCAGCAACATCCCCATTGCCTTTGACCACTTTGGCAAGGTCTGTCGAGGATGTCTGTGCTGGGTAACCTGGCACGCTGCGTGGTGCAGGAGATACTGGTCGAATACAAAATAGTGTGTCCAGAGCACAGCTTCAGCAGGTTTTGTGTAACAGATCCCAAAGTGACTATCCCACTCCTGCAGGTGGCTTGCTGCGAATACGTGTGACTTTTCCCTGGCTGTAGGGGTCCGACACTTGTAGAGGGCAGAGGCAGGACTGTGTCAGTCGCAAGGAGCTGGAGATGGTGCTGTTTAAATCCAGGCTCTGGCAACAATTTGGTACCAACATGATGATTTGAGACAAATGGCTTAGCCTCTCCATCTGCTAAATAAGGCAAAGATGTGATTAAATAATGTCTAACACCCTTGAAAGAAGTTCTTGCATCACTATTGCCAAGGACCAGCTTGTCACATTCCCTGCTGTACATGTACTAATGCCTCTCTCCTCTGCAACATTTCTGAGCTACTCAGGGTAAAAGTCTGGACATAGGGAAGAAAGTTGATGCTGTTTGCAGCTCCCCAATATTACCACCTGGAGCTTTATTAAGGAAACATTAAGGCCCTGCAGAAATATGAATGGCTTCTGCACAATGGGCTTATAAATGTCCGTAATATGTTTTAGGATCATTCAACTTGTCTCCTCATTTCTAAAGTGCAAGGGCTGTGTTTTAATGCTTCATTGTTGTGTAATGAGGAGGGCTGTAAAGCTTTTTTGAGGTAACAAATATTAAAGATTTCTGTTTGTTACTGGAATCTAGGAGCTGGGGCTTCAAGAAACCTACAAAATAATCCTAAGGTATCTACTGTACTCTGAGGTTTGTTTAAAACATGCTAACAAGCAAATACAGCATAATAAAAGACTAAGTATTAATTGACTAAACAGGTTGGAGTAAGCAAATGAATAAAGAAATTGTAAGGAAAAGGTGGAAACACTGCTATTAGGACTCTTAGTTAAAGTTCATAATTATCTCTATAGAAGTCACTACTGAGCATCTCTTAATTGGGATGAACTGCAAAGCTGGAGTCTGCCTCTAAATAACTGGAGCCCAAGAGATATTCTGGTAGGCTGCAGGTGCCTGAGCATCATCCAAAAATATTTTACAGGCTAAGAGTGAGAAATGCCCTGTGACAGTCTGTGTGGCCATATTAAGAACCCAGGGAAGCAGCTGGTTCAGCTGAATCCGAAACCCAGCACACAGCTGGTGAGAGTCACCTGGGAAATGAGTCCCACCAGGAGATACTAACAGGGAGAGAGGTCAGTTATAAAAAATCCCAAAACACAACCCTTTGCTTCAAAGAAGGGATCTTTGGAGAGGTTGATAAAGGTGGGAAGATCATGAAACTCCTTCTCTAAACTAAGACAGCTTTGAGGTTTGGTTTGATTTTGTTTTCCCTAGACCAGAAGTAGTTAGAGGCTTTTTCACTCTATCCCGTGAAGGAATAATGGCTACATGGTTCTTTCTGTTTCCTTAAAAAAACCCAACAGTTAGTTTAAGGGTCTGTTAGGTAAGGTGAATGTGGCTGTCATCTGTCCAAGTTGAAGATGGAGAGATTGGGGGTCAGGCTTTGCTATCCTGAGCTCCCATAGAATACTCGTTCTTCCAGGGGAGGAGGTTTGGACAGGCTCTTCTTACGGTACCGTCTGATCACTGGCAATACTCAAAGTTTGTAACCAGTGTAGGAGTTTCTGTTCCTCTCTGAGTCTCCAGAGGCAGGACAAAGCAGGAATGCTTGCAGTGACTAGAAGACTCCTACAGATAAATTTTAGACGCTAGCGACAGCCCAGTCTGATTTATTTTCCTTCCCTCCTCGCTCTGGGTGCTATGCTGTCTGCAGGCAGCCGGGCTGGCTGGTTGGAGCACAGGGCTGATGGTCAACAGGCTCCTGCTCTCTCCCAGCACTGCCCCTGATCTGAGGTTGGAGAAAAACGCTTCTCTGTGAGATCTGTCTTTATTCACATCATAGAAGTGACATTGCTTGCCTGTCTTTGGGATGTTTGTGAAGCCCAGTGTGTTAGACACGCTCTAGCAGGATGTATTTTATCCTCCAAATTAGAAAGGTGTTTTGGTGTGTTTTAAGTGACTTTAAAAGGCTGTTGCATAAAAACTGTTATGAATTTTGCCCCAGTCTACTTGAACTGACTGTGGCATTCGTTTTGTATATATGCTACTCTCTCTGTGAGATTTCTTTTGTCCAAAAAAAATGTTAGAGGTTTAAGAAAGAAACTTTCATGTTTCTTGTGCTTTCAAAGGCCTGTCTTCATCTGGCAAAAAAAGCAAGCACAGTCCTGACAAATGTTTCAGTGTCTGGAGTGTGTGTTTTACACTTGTGTGAGGGAAGGGAGGAGTTAGCTGATTGTGAAAATTTAGCGTGAATGAAAGCAGTGGGTTTGGAATCTTTTTTTAAACACAGCTCTAAAATCTTGGCAGTATTTGTAGGTTTATGTTTTCCATATTTTAGTTGTGCATTCTCTATGTCTTGTGCAAAACCACCTTTCCAAGTCCTTCCTGGCTTAGTAGAAAGTAAGAACTTTTTGAGGTACCTCCCAAGAGAAAGCTCTCTGTCTTGCGGGTGCACTCTGAAGGCTGCTAGCAGTGTTTTCATACCAAACACAGAACATAAAAGCGATCTGAGAACTTGGACATTCGAGTCAGTATGAATGCAATGAGGTACACCCAGTCCTTACGGCAGGAGCTGAAATCCTGGGGGGACCAGAAGTGCCCACAGTCTCAATCAAACCCTTGTTGCATTGCTTCCCAGAAAAATCAAAGCACTTCACAAATGAGTCCAATGGGAAGTCATAAGAGCAAATCTCATCTGTTATTTCTATGCCTGTCAAGAAAAAAATTAATTCATTCCATGGTATTGATACCCTTTCTTTTTCAAGGGAGAAAGTGGCAGCCAAGGGCTTCCTGGACTCAGAGGAGAAAAAGGAGAGTCAGTAAGTACGAAGCACCAGAATGATTTTACATAAGGAGATGGAAGTGCAAGTAGTTCTTTTCTCCTTTGTGGTGAGAACTTACAGTACCAATGGAGTCTGCTGAATACGTTCCCTCTGCTGGAACTTAATCCCCAGAGGAG